AATGAATGACCCGGGCTTTGGCACAAAAAGTGATGTTTTTATAGTGTTATCGCAGCGAGGGTCGCGTTATCAGCGGACACGGGGCGGGCGCTGAGCTTCCGTCCGCGGCTCGCGAAATACCGTCTCCGTGCGAGAAGCGCGGTGACCTACATACATAGTTGTAGTTACATACATGTACACGTAACAATCACTATATAATGATGTCTAACTACTTGTTACAATAACGTAACATCACCTCTTGCCATGTTGCTACCCTGTGATAGGAAGGCACAAGTAGGTACACAATTTGTATCTAACACCCCTATCTCTGGACTCTAGTCTGGATCAATATTGTATTACTTAAAATAATTCTGTAAAAAACTGCGACTTCTTAAAATAGGTACAAATATCCGTATTTACTGCACAAAATGCATGCAACCATTGCACGGTCCACGGTGCAACAAATGCAGTCGTATCTCATAAGTTTCAGTCAGGGAGGATGCGTCATCATTGGATAGTATTAATTTTGTACATAAATCATGTTTTCCAGCGGCCATCTAATAAATGTAACTCATTCCTAGAATTTTGTATGGCCATGTTTGTCGTACAGGGGGATGCGCTTGTATAGGTAACATCTTAGATGCCTCGGTGCTGTCTATGGTTTATCAGTTTTTATGATGTCACAATTATAGTGGTATCAAATGTTAGTAGTTGAGTTTGTAGTTATACTAACGAATAGTGGATTGTAGACACACAGTGTAGGCAAGCAATGGGGCTTACCTACTATCGAAAGCTCGAACCAGTATTGCATATCGTTGTGTAGCGTGTAGACAGCAGTCAAGTTTATGGTGGTGTGCAGTTGCAGGTAGAGTCGGTTTAGATATTATGATTGTGCTGGAACTGTTCACGAAGTACCAGCTCCCGCCTGGTCCTGGCCAGCGTGGCCCATACGACACGTCCGCCTCCGCGCGCCGGCCGCGAGGTTGGAAGGCTATCGCTGCAGATAATGCGGGTTCAAAAATAATGATGACAGACCCGTTTTAATTAAAAACGGTTACCAAAACATAAGAATTGAGTTTAAGTAGATTAAAATAATGTTTCATTTAAATGGCCCAGTTAGTTATGTTTTATTTATTAAAACAAAATAATGAATTGATTAAGGAATTCATATCAGTGACAACAGTTAGTAATAAAATTGTTATTATGTATTTTTATCGAATGCTTTGAATTATACACTGATATGTAAAATACATATCTAATTGGAAAATACTGATTGAAGGAACGAGATATTTGCTATATTTATAAGTATATTAATAAAAAGATAAGATAGCCAAGGATAAACATATGAGTAGGATACGAATCGGATCTACCTACTACCTAGTACCTACAATCCGACACTATATATTATCAACTGCTTACTGGCAAGGAACACTGCGTGCAGTCATTCAGCGACACACATATATTGCGGACATTGCGTGCAGCTGTACATCTCCATCTGCAATAATCATCAGTAGACCGAGCGTGTGTAGCTGAGGCGCATGTAGCTTCCTTCAACTAAACCTCCCCCGGTATTATTTCTGTTCTTTGTTGTCCTATCTAGAACTAGGTACTTGTAAATCAGTAAAAAAAACGGTGGATAAATAAGTAGGGTATGAGTTTGACTACTGACTAGGTACACCTACCCTCTCCACCTCATAACAATTCCATAAAAGAGCGACATATATACAGAAACAATAACAAGCCTAACTAAATACATTAGGTGTTGTACATCCTGTACATACTCGCAATATTATGGTTCGGGTGCCGGCCTAGATGTGCGGCGTGACGCGGTGACGTGCTCCGGCCACGTATTTAGGTCGAACACAAACGACATGAAATACCCAACCTACACGTTCAGATTCTCTCAAGCAACGACCGACGACTGCACTGCATTGCACCCTAAACCGATCTAGAACATTCTACGCGGTCACTGATACATAATTACGAACAATCTCCCAGTCTTTGCCACTGACTACCATTAACAGTAAGGTACATCGTTGTCATAGCCTTTGATATCCATGGGTTTGCGCAATAATACGATGTGTAACAATGAGGTAGGAAATTGGAATGCAATAAATAATAATCTCCAAGTGGGTAATCGCATGGATATGGATATGACTCACATGATGCGCTTCCTGGCAACACCCATGCAGTATATACGCAGTAACTAAACAATTACGAGTGGATTACATAGTTGTGTAGTATTATATCATACTGTGATGCAGACAGATATGGAGTGGAACCCTTAATCAGAATCTGTGTGTTAAGATTCAGGATAGGTACACGAATGAGAGATGTGTGTTCCATCGTGGACCGATCTTATTGTTTTGTATCAGCTGTGAGCTGGTTCTATTCATTCCTTCCTAACCATGTGACTGCAATGTCGTCACTGGGCCGTGGGGGTGCAGCAGTCGCTTCTCAATTGAGCCAATTGTAAGGCACCCGCGACCTATAGCTTTGGCTGGATGTGACGTCAGCCTGCCACTGGCCACTGAGACACTGCCGCGTCAGCTGGTGCCAACAAATTGTTCCAATCAATTTGTACACAATAACAACAGTTAGTGGAGTATTATGTATATTGTATATCAATTGCGGTCATTTCGTACAGTGTGTTATTATTTGTCGTCAGTTCCATCGTGAAATATTTTTTAAATGATATCATTAATGCACAATACCATGCGGAGTGCTTGCAGTGCAAATGTAACCCGCGATCAAGTTACAGACGCTCTGTTTGAGCGTCTCCTCTTACCCCTGTATCGGTGTGCTGACTTGGCGAAACAATGCATGCCTGCATGTCCATAATCTAATACTTATTATGTTACGAAAATGTTGATCAATGAATACTTTATCGACAAAGAGGAACTTATGAGTACCTCCTGTCATTAGCCTAATGGGATTAGGGTTCCCACCTAGCCTTACCTACATAATGAAATAGGAACTAAACTTTAACATAATTAAGAGTTACATTGGTGTGACCACAAGTGCGACTGCCAAACAAGAAGTATGTATGTATATTATCAAGTCCTAGATGCACAGAGTGTAGAACCATGTCCAGTAAATGGTATATGACAATAGTGTCGCCCTCTACTATAACAAACAAGTCATGATGAGTATGTTCATAAATAAATCCATATCGATGATAAGTGGTCCAATGTTATAACAAAATTCTACCAAAAACATGAATGTAAAATGAGTACGGAGTTGGCTAAAATCTATCTCGAATGGTTTTCAAATTGAATTTGCGAAGGAAGGCATCGATAAAGTTGAGTGCGTTCTAAGAGTATTGGAATAAGAGGGCATTCATTATCGATAGGCAATAAAAACTAGTCAAGTCAGTATAGTTCATTTATCTGTAATCTACCGGTGTCCGGTACCAAGTTATTCGGTATTAAGTAAGTCAAACATTTTGTTTTGTATTGTCATCTCCCTCCATAAAAATGGAGGCCAGCTCAGGCTGAGAGCAACCCACGACATATCGTAACTAAAGTAATAATACAAAGGCTAGGTAAACACATATGACATACAGTGCACCGTAATGTAGTGCCTGAGCTGTGCGCTGCGTGTGTGTTACAACTAATACATTCTCGGAAGCGTCGTAAAAACCATACGAGTTGTGCAGATGTGGATGAGGTCATCAGACCACTGTCCACCGGCGTCCTGGCGGCCGTTAAATTAAATCATCGTGCTATATAGATAACAAAATTATCTGCTCGAATCATATTTTTAAACAATCAGACCTTAGAGACCAAGGATTACGAGGTTATCGCATTAAAACAATCTACGCATACGTTATTACATTATCCATTTTGAATATTGTTTAAAAGTTGCATATTATGTAGTTACCTACAACCGCTTGTTTAATTTTATTATGTTTTAAATTCTCGGAAATATAACTTGTCGCCATGTCGTATGATGTAATGTATCCTCTGCCGATTGATAACAACCCTACAGTAGTGCTTGGCCAGTCGAGTAGGCTGTGTGTGGCACTCCCTGGCACAGCTGGCGCAGTGCGCGCACGCCGCGCCTCACACAGCTTCCAGCGCGATGTAGGCTGCGCTGGGGTGCGTTGCCCTCGCTCGCCCCTCGATACCGCGTGCCATTGACACCGTGAACCCTACCAAGTACCAACCAGGTTCTCATTGCGCTTACATTACTCTGACTACAACTTTTAATTTTAAAGAAAGATTAACCTAAAGTTTAACCTGTTAGATTCTCTCTTATTGTTATAGTGTGACTCGAAACTATAGTAGAGCTTTTCTCAGTATATTTACATGAGTGCCTCGTCATTTTTAGTTAATTCAGGTTGTCTCACGATAGTAATTAATTAAACCATGTATTTTTACTAATAAATACCTTGCCATAAGCAGTAAGCGTAACAATCTTATAAATGTAATCAATTAAATTCGAGGATCAATACGACTCTCGAAACTTGTAGTAGGTATGGGAGATAACTACGGTTTGATTCTTGGAATTCGCTAGTTGGACGGAATAGTTCAGTGCACCGGACATCGACATAAACTCGATATGCGCGTAAATAGCACGAGTGTAACATGCACGCTGTGGCGGACTGCACGGTGCTAGGTATACGGCGATGCGATGGTAAGCAAAATATAGTTCGGCACGGACAGCGCCCACGCAGCCGCGGCCCGGGGCCGCACGCCCTGCCACACGATGTTACTGCTTACTGGAACTGTTAAAGCTTGTATTTTTACAGCATCACATAAAACAGTACGACTTCAAACTGGGTCATTCATAGAAACATTATTCGGATATTTCACTTGTTTATTAACTTTAGGACTATAATATAAGGAATGATGTATGTACCACCTACCAACAATAGACATAATATGAAGTTTGTTATTTGATCATCTGTAATCCGAAGCCGACGCGCGTGCCTCAGTTCTGATGCTTGTCGCTTAGTTTCTCTAGTTGCAGTGGTAAGTTTGTTTCGTATTGTTGCAGGTAGCTGAATAACTTGAACAATGAGGGGTCTCCTGGTGCTGGCCCTCGTGGTCGCAGTTCTATGCACAGTCGATGCTGAGGTGAGTTACATCTCATTATATTGTCCTATGTGTGCATGCATTGTGTCCATTAATGTTTCGGTGGATGAAGCATTCATTCCAGGAAACAGAAATAGATGAGAATAAACCAATTATACAAATATTATCAACCACGGTAAGCGCATGGTTTTAACGATGTGGTGGTATGTGGTGGTTGCAGCGTCATCGGCGACGACACCGACGGCTCCGGACAACCACCACGGAGCGACCAGCTCCGCCGGAAATAGCGGTGCCAGTGCGCGAGGACTCAGAGGCTGAGCACCTCGAGCTCGGCATGGCGGAGAGACTGGACGAGAGGCGCTTCCAGGTGAGGAACATAGTCACCAATATTATTACAAGCGACTGCTGACTGCTGCTTAATTTATTGGCTCACATTCTATTTACAAAAATAATATTGTTGAAACACAACATTGAACGCTAACAATAAAATAACATTTACATAATAACACAAGGTGCCCCGTGCCATGTTGCAGGATGCGGAGAGATCACGTGTCAACGAGATCATGAACGAAGCGTCCTCGCGCGAGGGCGCCGGCAGCGACAACGAAGTCAACGTGTTGGACGGTCAGTGGCACAGTGTCTTCGAGTCGTCAGTTAAGCCACCACAGTAATACTATGAGACTGAGTTTTGTTTCTGTCACAGATCCCTGTCTGAGGGTACACTGCAGCGCTGGACGCGTGTGTGAGATTGACGAACACGGAGACGCTGTCTGCAACTGCATCAAGGAGTGCCCATACGAGACAGACTCTCGCCGGAAGGTATATCTATAACAAGTTATTGTAATGTAATAAAGCTCAAGTGTTGGTTCATCTAGTTGATTGTGCTGTAGGTACGCTGTGGACATATATGTCGATGTGTTGTAGGTGTGCACGAACCACAACGAGACCTGGACGTCAGACTGCGAGGTGTACCAGCAGCGCTGCCTGTGCCTGGACGGGTCCGAGCTGTGTCGCGGCCCGCAGTACCACCACGTGCAGATCGAGTACTATGGCACGTGCCGCGAGATGCCGGTCAGTGCCGCACACTGTCACCAACGTTGTGGCCTCTAGTTCACCCACATTAACTAATGTGGAAGAACTAAGTAAGGGTTTATTTTATGTCTATTCCATCTTTACCTCAGGAATGTAGCGAGAACGAGATGTTGGACTTCCCCCGGCGCATGCGTGACTGGCTGTTCAACATAATGCGTGACATGGCGGAGAGACGCGAGCTGACTCCTCATTACCTGAAGATGGAGCGCGAGGCCGAATCCAACCTCACCCGGCGCTGGACTAACGCAGCCATCTGGAAGTGGTGCGACCTCGACGCGCACGACAACGACAGGTACCACTGAACCTCCACATCCACCCTGCACCACAGTTTATTACATAAATTTAAATAATGTAACCTAGCCTAAAACCGTAAAAGTAATTGAAAAAGGGTATAATTCTTATTTTAATTCCTCTTTGTACGAATCTACGCTTTAGAACGGCGACAAAACGTTGTGTGACGTTCGAAATAGATTTTGAAAATGATGACATGACTCGGCAGGTTCGTATCCCGGCACGAGTTGTTCCCGATCCGCGCACCGCTGATGGCCTTGGAGCACTGCATCGCGCCCTTCCTGGACCGCTGCGACGAGGACGACGACCACCGCATCACGCTCGCCGAGTGGGGCAAGTGTCTGCAGCTGGACGAGGTATTACCATATTACTTATTACACAACATGTTATACAGTATCATATCGCTGTCTTTTAGAAAATTAAAAGACCGGCCAACTTCAACCGACGAGTCACATTCACAGAGTGTCGTACCAATTCATTGCTATAAAAGATATCTTTATTTTTTTAACCGTCTTATTTATTAATCGAGGTTCGTGAGAGGTCAGCTAGCATATAGCAATAGGTCATATAGCAATAGCATAGTATAAATAACAAGTAACCCCGTTATAGAAGGCTACTTTCTACCTGACTTCTGGATTTCTACTTCGATACAAGTAATATGTGGAAGGGAGTAATAGTTGTTGTAACGTGCGGTGTTGTTGCAGTACGAGCTGGAGGACCGCTGCGACGAGTTCACCGAGGACCCGCCGTCCGGGCTCTGAGCGGCGCGCCAACACCTGCAGCAGACGTAGTCGGATGGTTTTTCTTAATGTTAAGTACGCTATGTTACGTTACATAAATAATATTTCTAAAGTAAATGAACCGTTACGCAACGGCGCCCGTGCGCTCATGTAAATAGCAATTACTGTGATCACGCTACCAAAACTTGTCGTTTTACAATAAATTCTAGAAAGTATTTCCTTGTTTCTTATTCAATGTCCGAGTCCTTGGAAGCACCCAGGGGCTGTTCATCGTCTTCAGCTAAATGTAGTGCGGTAGATTAGAATCATACAAACAATGAAACAATAAATTGTATTAAATGTCAAGGGGATGCGTATGTTACATAACGAGAGTATGTGATGACATGATGACGGATTGAAGGGTAAACATAATGAACGTACCGACGAGCAAAACCAGTCGACCTAGTTAGTGCTGGGCGACTCGAGCTGCACATTCGTGGAGTCAACACCATGTCCACCTCCGGCACTCGGCTCGGCAGGCACCTGCGTCAAACTGGCAGTAGTTACTGCGTGCTGAGGTCCTACCCTTACTGACATTGCCAGCTCCTGGTGAACTAGCAACTACGTGTTACCTAGACAAACAACAGAGTTCAGTTTTTTCTTAATAAACTATTTACATTAACATTTTTTCTTTTTTTTCTCCTAACCTTTTCCCAACTAGCTTTTAACCAGCAGATAACTACGGCCAAATGTCAGTACCGATGTTACCCATTTATTATTATTCTTGGTAGGACGAGTTAATGTCGTTGTAACAACTGTAGCTAGGTTACTGGAGCTGCCTGCTCTATTGTGTTTAGAGTGTCCAAAAATAAACGCTTCTTATCAATTTGAAGCATTAATTTGAACTTCAAAGCTTTATATATTGAAGCACATGACTGCACGGTTGGCGCGTTGGCTGGGCAACTGGCTGCCGCGCAACATGTCGCGGGTTTGATTCCCGCACGGAAAAACTCTTTGTGTGATATATGTAGGGGCGTCGACCACAACCGGGATCTGCGATTGTAATGACATCCTTGTATAGAAGCGGAGGTGAGATAAGTTCAGATTACACGCGGACGTGGGCCTGGCTCACTATTGTTGTAATACATTATACAGTATTACCTGCAGATATACCGATACTTGGCTCATTGATACTCATCTAATTAGTAGATAGTACGCTATCGCATACATAATTTGGTATAAACATCGTGACGTAGCGTATGACATGATCAGCAGTCAGTAAACACGTGCAATCTCTCGGACAGGTCCGTCATCGGTCACCCCTACACTCCACGATCACATCCAATTGACTTTTTTAACGTATAGAAGGTAACAGTAATGCAGTAGTACGTTTAAGGGCAACTGATTAATAAAGTGTAGCGGTTAGCGGTTGGGCAGGTGCTTGACTTATGCCTGAGGTCCAACATCCCCTAGATAAAGTTTATGCATCATCTGTTGAGAGTTGCTAACACTGCACTGACTGTCGTAGACTGTCTAGGAACTCAATTAATTCGTCGTAGGTACCGGTGGTACAGACCCTTCAATAGCACTTTCTTCATTTATTAAGTACCTTCTAACTAAATAAAGTCAAAACTACCTAGATCAAGTTGGCTTGCTGGCGTCTAGGTAAGTAGAGGTAGATACAATGACAAATTATTAAGTTATCACACAGCGATAATATCGTATAATTATTATGACAGGAAGTATTTAATTACTCAATATTATTTAATGATTTATACAAACAATGCTAATGTAGGGTTGCATTGAGTGTCCTGTATGCGCATGCGCTTGGTTGGATCAATGCGAATTAACAGGTACAGGTGCATCAGATGAAGACTTTCAGCATTACTATCTGAGCTACAGGTGGAACTGGTGCTGGTGGAAAAAGGCTCCATGAAGGGTCACCAATAGTCTGCATATAGTCTGCATCTCTCACTACGTAGTGATGATGATCGTTTCTTGTAGCAACTTTGCTAAATAAGTAAAATCGTGAACGGAGAAGATTTTACGGTTAATATTGACCTCAGTAAATAGTCTATTATTTTGTTTAACACTTTCAACATTCTTACTAATAGTATACGAATACAACGCGCGTGTAGCCGCACTGGTTTAAATAGTCTCTATGTAAAGTATGTAACAGACACACGCGTGGACAAGCGCACTAGCAAACAACACAACGAGGTGAAACAAATCGTTGTTTGATTAGATGATGACGAGACGATATGACAAATGAAATCACGAAGCTATAATTGTTGTCAGATCTGGTAATTACAAAGATAATATATCGCACCGATAGCGACGGTCTGACACGGATCATGTAGTTTTCCTGTTATACAAATAGATTATGTCACCACTGTTATTGATGAAACCGGGTAATCCGGGTATGCCCTCAAACTGCGAGCATCCGCTTGAGGTGGGGCACACTCGGGGTTCTGTGAATTACGTAAACTGTGGTCCCAAGCCAAACCGTGAGGACGATGGAACGAAAGGGTGGTCTTTATTCAGTAGTGGAAAGCTACTAATTGTTGGCCTGCTGAGGTTGGCATATACATATTATGGCGACGGCTAACATGTCTGTCTAACGATGCGATGCCTAAAAGGATTTCCGATATGGTGGCGTGATATTTTATTATCAACACAGATAATTTATCAGCGATCTCACGAAAAGTGGTTTTATTATAACCACAATGTCAACAACACAAAATTCTGGGATAATTAACTAATTCAAAGTTCGCGATGGCTGCGATAACTGGGAAACACTGGAGAAATGTGCGAGTCTAGTATATCCAGTATTAGGTATTACTTCTTACCAATATTATACCTAAATGCGAAAGTTTGTGTGTATGTATAAATTTTTTTATTAATCACAGTTTTGTTTTCAGTGTCTGTATCTACTTATGTATTTATTTTTTAAATATGTTTAATGTACAGAATTGACACTTCTACAGTTTTATTATATGTATAAATGTATAGATATAGATAGAACATAATTATAATTATGATTCTTAGAATCACAATATGTCACAAATGGTCTTAGAAAAAAATTTAGATCATTTTTGTAAACACTTGAACTTAGTCTCGGGTTCGATTCTGGGCGCTTACTCTTGAAACCAATCTCAATGTCAATGCAATTTCAATCCAATATGATCTCAATAATTATTAAATGTCAACACTATACAACCACAATCTTAGCTGTTACAATAGCATTCAGAGTACGGAATATAAAGACAAACTCAATACCATTTAGTTCATTCAATATCTACGCAATACGGATGCAATGGGCTCTAGTATTGCAACTCAAGAGTACGAAATTTCACAATACCAATGTCGATCGATCGGAATTGGATTCAAGAGTAAGCCCCCTGTTTTGTTGTACTGGGTTTTCTGGAATTGTGCCCGGTATATGGCAATAGCCTCACCCCCTATTACATAGGACTCATAACATAAATAGTGAAAAGTGGGTGTTACATTGTACAGTGGTATTAATTAAGTGCTGTAATCTGCATCTCTGCCTATCCCTTCGGGGGTAAAAGGCGTGCTATTATATGTAGGTTTGTAGACACTTTTAAAACATACAGTTGTAATGATAAAGCCTACACACATGGGTCTATGGGACTTTTGACACTTTATACGATACCTAATGAATATGATGAACTCAAGATGCCCATCAAAATATTACACACACTTCACTGACATAATATTTCCAAATGTCTACTCTGAGAGGGCTATTTCGACTTCCGAGCATAGTAAAATATATCAATTTGATACTTTAGTTTGAAAATAAAAGTTTATTTTGTGTTCCAATGTAAAAACTGATGAAAGGATACAAAAAGAATATATTTTAGTAAGGTGAGAAAGATGTCGTAAACTTTCATATTTTTCTTAGTTTGGTAAGTTGTAATGGAAAGTAAATTTTCTATCTATAGGCAACAAATGAATAATCACCAAAACTCAGTGTTATAATTCTAAGACAGTTAAATAATAATAATGTTTTGTAGTAAATCTATACTTATAATAAATCTGTAGAGAGGTAAATTCTGTACATAAAATATATTTAAAAAATAACTATCAAGGGGTGGTTAGGGATCGCTACTGATGCCAAAAATGCAATCAGTAAAATTTTTGTCTGTCTGTCTGTCTGTCTGTATGTTCGTTATGGAAACAAAAACTACTCGATGGATTTTAACGAAATTTGGCACAATTATTCTTCATACTCTTGGGCAGGTTATAGTATACTTTTCATTACGCTACGATTAATAGGAGCAGAGCAGTGAAGGGAAATATTGGGAAAACGGAAGAAGTTACTCCATTTTTTAAACTTCCGTCGCGTGTGCAGGCTTATAGGTTAAAGCTGCGTAGAAATCATGTATGACGGAAATATTCTCCTTAAAATTATATAAAGAATATTCCTCGACAGCATATGTCTATCTTTTATGGTTGACTCACAATAACACGTGAAACTCCAGATAGCTTAGCAATTCGGTGATTTCTGATTGTATTTGTCTATTCTAACGTTTACAATACTCATTCATAGACTTTACGCTGTAACTGAAAGGCCAATGGTTGAAATTAGCTTGACTCGATATTATAAATGAAAATATGTGAGTTTATGTGTATGTTTGTTACTCAGTCATATTAAAACGACTGAAGGGACCGGAATAAAATTCGGAACAGATGTAGATTATGGTCTGAAGTGATACATAGGCATTTTACCCCTGGGACCGCGGGCGAAGCTGCTGGCAGAAGCTAGTATAAAATAAATTAATACGTTCCTCTATTAAATTTACCTTTTTGTTATTGAAAATTTTATTTCTTATGATTACGTTCATATTCGCAATATTCGCATTAAAAATACGCGAATAATTCGCGAATGCGAATATTCGTTACGTCGCTTACTTTTTTATCTTGGTAGGGACCTCAGTATTTAGATCCGTACAGAGGGCTTAGTATAGTACGAGTTTGTTGTACGCCTTCGTCACTCTGATTGGCCGTCTCCAAAGAAC